CGTTCATTAGAAAAGCCCTTTCTTCTGTATGTGAATGTGGAAGGTGGAGTAGCTCATGAAGTTTTAGTCCAGGAGTGGGGGGGAATAAAAAGACCAATAGCATATTTATCAAAATTGTTGGATCCAGTGAGCCATGGCTGGCCAGTTTGTATTCAGGCTATAGCAGCTACTGCTATTTTGGTGGAGGAAAGCTGTAAACTTACTTTTGGAAATAAACAAATTGTGTATACACCTCATGCAGTCTGAAATGTGTTAAATCAAAAAGCTGAAAAATGGTCAACAGATTCTAGGATATTAAAATATGAAGCTATTTTGACAAACAGTGATGACTTAACAGTAGAAGTAAACAAAAGTTTGAATCCCACACAATTTTTATATGGGGAACCAAAAAGTAATTTAACACATGATTGTTTAGAAATTATACAAAACCAAAGTTCGAGAAGATCTAGCAGAGCAAGCCCTCCCAGAAGGGGAAGGAATATATGTTGATGGTTCATCTAGATGCATACAAGAAAAAAGAATGTCAGGATATGCATTGGTTGATGGGCAAACAATGCAGACCATCGAAAAAGGAAAATTACCTTCAAATGGGTCAGCTCAGTCTTGTGAATTATATGCTCTAAAAAGAGCACTGAAATATTTGGTACACAAGAAAGGAACCATATATACTGATTCAAAGTATGTTTTTGGGGTAGTACACACCTTTGGAAAAATTTGGGAAGAAAAGGGGTTAGTAAACTCAAAAGGAAAGGGACTGATACATGAGGGACTCATTTTGGAGGTTTTAGAGGCATTAAAATTTCCTGAAAAAATATCTGAAGTACATGTTAAAGGACACCAAAGGGGAATGACTTTAGAAATAAGAGAAAATAATTTGGCAGATCAAGAGGCTAGAGATGCAGCAGAAAATGGGACCAAATGGTTATGTTAATTTTGACCCCAGATAAGGAAGAATTGGAAGTTCCAAAGTTTAGTGAGGCAGAAGAGAGTGAACTAAGTAGGATAGGGGGAGGGAAAGATCAGTTAGGGAAATGGAAACTGCCTGATGGAAGACAATTACTTAATAAGCCACTTACTAGAAAAATATTAGAAGATATGCATCAAAAAACTCATTGGGGTACTCAAGCTCTGTGTGATCACTTTCTAAGGAATTATGGGTGTTTGGGATTTTTGGATTGTCAAAACAAGTAACTGAAAGGTATATAATTTGTCAAAAGGTAAACAAAAAGGTAATGAGGAAAACAACATTTGGAGGCCTTGAGTTAGCTCTTTGACCATTTCAAAGTATACAAGTGGACTTTACTGAACTTCCCCAAGTACAGAGATGGAATTTTTTATTAGTAATAATAGACCATCTAACTCATTGGGTGGAAGCTATTCCTGCTGTCAGACCCACAGCTAATGTAGTATGTAAAACCCTTTTGGAACAAATTATTCCCAGATATGGAATGGTTAATAGGATAGACTCAGATAGAGGAACACATTTTACGTCAAAAGTCTTACAGTAAATAACTCAAGCCTTGGGAATAAAATGGGAATTACATACCCCATGGCACCTACAGAGTTCAGGCCGGGTAGAGAGGATGAACCAGACTTTAAAGAGAATTTTAACAAAATTAATGATTGAAACCCAAATGTCATGGGTAAAAGGCCTACCTTTGGCTCTATTCAGGGTCCGAACACAACCCAGGTCAGACCTGGGAGTGTCACCCCATGAGATGATGTTCGGATTACCCTTTCTGAGCATCCAACATGAAATTGCTACTTATGAAGAAGGGGAAATACTTTTTAGAAAATATGTCACCACAATTGCAAAACCGCTTGAAAATTTGCAGTTGAAAGAGATAATCCCTCAAACCACACCTTTAGAATTTAAAATTCATAATATCCATCCAGGGGAATGGGTACTAGTGAAAATGTGGAACTCCACAATAGGAAGGTCCTTTTCAGGTACTACTGACGACTGAGGCAGCAATCCAGACCAGGGAACGAGGGTGGATCCATGCCAGCAGAATCAAAGGACCTGTGGAAGAACCTAAGGAATGGACTATAACATCTAAACCGGGTGATACCAAATTGACTCTCAAGCAGGGACTGAGTGGTAATGAACTGAGAGGACCCAAATGATCCAAGGAATGTATGAAGAATTACACCTAATTGGGAAATAAGTCCGAGCTTATATCAGTGGTTTCAAGTGTCTCCTGGATAAGTCCTGAGACACCTCTGATACCCTCCTTGGGGAGGAATACTTCCACTTCAAACAGGAGGATCAGGACCGTTTTGGACAGAGTTCTCGTATTCTGACCTTAGCCTGTGACTTATACAAAGAAGAGGAGGAATTACAACTTCCATCAGTGCCATATCGTATACCCTATTTGATTCATCCAAGTACCGGACATGCTAGCTGGGTTAAAGGTAAATATTTAAATTGTGGGAAAAATTGGTATCGTAGTTCACACATTCAACACTCTCCTTGCAGGAAGTGTCAAGTGCCAAATCTATCCTCTATCCAGGTAGACCTCAAAAGAACTGAAATAATAACTTTGTTTTGTGGATGGGAATTATTAGTGCCTGTTGAATGGGAAATACCTGAGGAACGGTGGGAAACTACAGTTAAGGAGTGTCAAAAACAATTTGCATGGAAATTAGCAAAAAGGAAGTGACAAGGAAAAAGAGGGCAAGACTGGATTGGCCGCTGTACTCGCCACCGAGAAGATCATATACACCTGCTATAGGTAGCAACCCCATAGGCATGGGAGGTGGGGGTATAAGCCATACCAGACCTCTGTTATTCCTTTTTCTGTCACTCATTTTTTGTCTTTTCCTTTTCGGGATACCGGCAAAGTCATGTCAGAGATGTTACCAAAAGCTGTATATGGAAAGACACCAAGGTTCCTTTTTTTATTACACACACCCATATCAACAGTCACTATTATAACCCATCCAAATTAGGCAATTGTATACAAAATGGGAAAAAGCACTAGATTGCTGAAAATTTAGGAACAAGTGGTAACAGGTTGGGAAGTAAATGTCCTAAAGGACAGAGATGGGTTCGTTTCACTTTTACTACTGGGAGTAAGGTCCAAGATTTGGTTAAAGAACAACTGGTAAGCAGAAAGGCAAAACCAGTACAGCAATCAAAATCTGTGCCAATTTCACTTCAAGATTTATATATAAAACTTGAACAGCAATTAGAAAAGGAAATAGATACCTCAAGATTGGGGAAAAATCTGTTTGTGGAATTAGGGGAAAGAATAAGTAAGGAACTTAACATAACCTACTGTTGGGTTTGTGGGGGAGCTTTGATGTCAGAAGAATGGCCATGGAAAGGCAGTAGCTTAGGCTCGATTGAACTCCTTAAGTGGAACTAGGCAAATACAAGGGGGGAAAACCAACTAGAAGGGTAGATTTTAAGCTCAACAGTGATAGGAGAGGAATGTCGCTGTCGCACTGGGAAAAATTTTCATAATGAAGTAGGAAAAACTCCCTGTAAGAGATATAAAGTTAGCAATGGAACTTCTACATGGTGGATCCCAGAGGAACCAACTCAGTACTGGACTTGAGGAGAAATGAAAAGAGGAATTCTAAATATAATAACAAAATTGGACTTTTGCAATGTAATGATGCAGGCAAAAATCCTTATTCTGGGATGCCAGAAATATCCAAATTTTGGGAAAAGAGAAATCAACAGAAAAATAATTATTGGAAGGCACCAGATGGCTTATTTTGGATATGTGGAAAGACAGCATACCCAAGACTCCTCTCTAGCTGGAGAGGGAGTTGCACTTTGGGAATTATACGACCAGGATTCTTTTTTCTACCAGGACCAAATGGAGATCAATTAGGAGTACCAGTCTATGAGGACCTAAAAAAAAATAAAAGGGACTTGACTGGGAGATCCCAAAAATGGGGAGATGAGGAGTGGCCCCCAGAACACGTAGTGGAAACATATGGGCCAACCACCTGGGCATCAGATGGGAGTTGGGGATATCGAACCCCAATTTATATGCTGAATCGTATTATAAGACTTCAAACAGTTGTGGAGATAATAACAAACAGAACTAGTCGGGCAATAGAATTAATATCAAGGCAACAAACCCAAACAAGAGCTGCAGCATATCAAAATAGGTTGGCCTTAGACTATTAGCTGAAGAAGGGGGTATTTGTGGAAAATGTAATACATCAGATTGTTGTTTCAAAATAGATGACAACAGAGATACCATCCTAGATATAGTCAATGATATCAGAAAAATAGCCCATGTACCGGTCCAAAAGTGGGAATCAATGCTAAAAACTAGCTGGTGGAATAATGTATTGGGCATAGAATGGTGGAAGAAACTAGGCTTCTTCCTTTTATGTGCTACAGCTGGTTTGATATTTCTTCCCTGCTTGATCCTCTGCTTTATTCAGCTAATCACCAGTGTAGTCCAGGGCATGCAAGTGGTAACAATGCCTATAGACGCAAAATTGACTACATCTAAAATGGCACAAAAGATTATGGTGTTAAAGAAACAAAATAATATGGAAGACCCCTTGAAGGAAGCAAAAATTATTTATGAAAAAAATAAGCAAATAATGGAGGATGGAAAACAAGAAATACTGCTCAAGCCAAATGATTTGTAAAAAGGGAAGAGGTGGGATTGTTATAAATACATATTACGTTGTTGGCTTTTCACAAATATTAGGATGAATGTTATATGTATAATGTTAAAATAGCTTTGCTTTTATTTCTGCTATTAACAAAAACTTAGACATAGTAGTAGGGGTAGCTGATATAGTTATGAGTGAACTGTCTGTTTGGTCAGGATAACATCCAGTGAACATGTAATGAGGACCCTGCTATTGATATGCCAACTATCAGCATCTGCTGTCTGAAGAAAGTATGGACCAAGGCCCAAACTGGAAGTGATAAAGAGAAGGAGCCAAAACCACAGCCAAGAAACACGCATGTTCTAAAAAGGCGGACCCAAGCAGGGGCCATGTAAAATAGTAATCTTTGCTTTACTGTCTTTGTCTCCTATTGTTCTTTATTAAACTGTTTAAATTTTCACAGGAGAGTGAACATGTTTTTCACACTTTCCCTAATAAACTGTCTTTATCTCAACCCATGAGTTTTCTAGCTTTTACCCTTCCGATTTTCACTCCCATCCCACTCATGGGGGAGTGAGCAAACGGCTGTGTGAGGCTTGATTGCTGGCTGGAGTCAAACCACAACAGCTGGCATGTAAGAATTTAAGTGGTGCATCTGAATAAAAAACAATTTTACATTAATGATGTTCATTGCAATGCTTTAGGCAGACTATCACCTTGCATGTGTGGGGCTTGGGAGGAACACTGACAAGCACAGCGTGCCTGTTTTTTAAGGCAGTTCACTTTGAAAGTATGTATTACAGCCACAAATATCCTTTCACTGAAGGGGAAATTTTCATTTCAGTCATGAAAATAGATTTCACTTGACGTAAAAATAAAGCCAGGACTTGATTCTGCAGCCTGAAGTGGAGCTGTAGGCACCTGTGAATAGCAGCATGGGTACTATTGCAGGGAATATGCATTAGAGTTAAAAATGATGTACCAGTAAGGCAATTTAGGTGGCTAAATTTACACATGAATACACCTTAATCATTATTTCCAGGACCAGTTGCACCATGGCCTAGGACACATTATGTCGCCCTAATAAGCACCAGGTTTTGTGTGATGTCACCAAGGAACCTTTGGGGTCTGGCCCCCGAAGGTCTCACCCACGACACCACAGCTTTCAGGGACCCCGCCTATCCCAGCAGGCCGGGCCCGGCGGGAAGGGGACATCACACGGAGAGGACTCCTGAGTACAACTTGAGGTGAGGCTAAGACAAGAAGAACACTCACTTTCTGCCGCGCCGAGCCAGGCCGGGCCTATCCCGCCAGGTCACCGGCCCGGATGACTCCGCCATGCCCAACCGAACAGTCCCAATCACGTCTCCGGAAGCGCTTGCCAGACTATAGCGGAAGCGGGGCGGGGCATAGTCTCTTTGGTGCTAATCCCCGGAGAAGATGGTGAGTGCTGAGGCCTGGGTACGGCGATATCTATTATCATCCGTCGCCGTGCCGGGCTCTGTAAGGCCGTGGGCCTCGTCTGGGGCGCGGGGCGGCCCTGCGCCATGCTGTGGCCGGGCTCGGCGGTGGGGCTGCGCTGCGGGGAGACGAGGCTGGGACCTGAGCCTGAAGGCCTGGCAGTGAGCCCCGTTCCTGGCCTGTGTGGGGGCGTGGGACATCTCGTCCCGGGCGAAGAGGCAGCGATGGGGTATGGGGCTGTGATACCGCGGGATCTCCTTCGGGATCCCCTCCGTGCTTGCTGCGGGCCTGGCCGGAACAGCGCTCTTCCCAGGCATGAGGAAGCCTTTCAGATAACGTAGTAAGAGGGAGTTTGCCAAAGCCTCTTGCGAGTGTACGGTTAATCTATGAAAATAAATACATTTCCTCAGGAAAAAGCAGTTTACTGTTCATCACTGATAAATTTGAGGGAGATGAGAAAGGAGTTTGAGATAACTACTCAGTACCTTCATTTTATTTCAGCACTGGGCAGGGGGATAGGAATGGCAAAGAGAAGTGTAAGAAACTGATTTCTTAAAATGGAGGATACCTATAAAAGAAACTGAGTCGGTGTTTCAGAGATCAGTGTGTCTCTGCCATGTTTACTGAACTTGGTGAATTTGAGAGTGTTTTTTAGAGAAGCCTGTGTTTTGAGTTGCGTGATTTTTGAGTGATAGTGATATTTACAATGTGCAATGTCTTGAAATATTTCTCAGACAAAGGGTACATCATCATTTGGTAAGCGACGAAATAAGACACACACCTTGTGCCGTCGGTGTGGGTCCAAGGCGTACCATCTGCAGAAATCTACCTGTGGGAAATGTGGTTACCCTGCTAAGCGTAAGAGAAATTGTAAGTAAGAGTTGAGTTTAAAAACTTGTGGTTTTTTGTCATCTTCAATAATCTGTCTTTTCCAACCAAGAAAGAATACCGTATCATCTTGCAGTGTTAGGAACTTTTTTGAAATTAATACTGATTTAACTGTATTTCAGCTAATGTGCAGTATTACTGAATAATATACTTAATTTATAATTGTTTTTTTCTTCTGTGAAATTGAATAGTTGTGCTATTCAAATGTACCATGCAACTAATTATTTGGTGTAGATGAGTAACAGTAATTTCTGTGTTCTAGATAACTGGAGTGCAAAGGCTAAAAGACGCAACACCACTGGTACTGGTCGCATGAGGCACCTGAAAAGGGTCTACCGTCGATTCAGGTACGACATTTTATTACAAACTAGTGTAATCTGACATCTTCAATGGATTTCACTGAATTATAAAATTCATCATTCAAAGTTAACACTTATTTAGTATGCTTGATGAGGTATGGTGTTTCTTTTAAAATATATTGTGGAAATAAATTATGTCATATCTTCAAAAGAATATACTGCCAATTATTAAAAGCTCATTCATTGTTAAAAAATAGGCTCTATAGCAAACTCTTATGTTTCTGTTAACTGTAGATAGTACAGAACACAGAGGGTATTGTAATAAAGCACTCACTTTTGAAAAGGCATACTTTGTGTAGCATTACCTCTTTTTGGGAGTCTGAAATTTATGGCTGCACTGAAGTTGGATTTTTCTAAGAAACAATTCTTGAAATGCATTCCAATCCCTTCTTGCCCACAAGAAAAGGATTTAAATACTTCAGTGGTTGCTCTTTAATTTGGAGTACAATTAGTAAGTAACATCTGATTCTGAGTTACAGGTTTCTAAAATGTATTATAAAGCTTTGAGTTGTACTTAAAAGGTACTGTACTGTTAAACTTGCTAAGAATATCTTTCTGTATGACCTCCATGTTCTAAAGAACAGCTCTGTAACTTTTGCCCTGATACACCAGAAAGATGGATGAAAAAGCCAAGCAATTCAAGAGTCTTTTCCTAAAAATGTAGATTGCATTTAATAGTGAAAAGTAAGTCTTTTAAGTCCCGGACCTTGGTGTATTTGAGGGATCCATTCATCTGGGCTTTTATTTTAAGCATAGTCTTTCCCAGAAGCATCCAGAAAACACCTTACAATGTGCAACTGCAGCCTGATTTCTACCAAGTGTTGCTGAAGTAGAAATATCATCTCCAAAAGCAAGCTTAGGGTCGATCTCTGTAAGAAATTGACTTGCACTTCAGTGTTAAAAAATGCAAAATCTTTTGCCGAGCTGCTTAGTAGCAACATAAAGTAAGGCATGCCTTCAGTGGGTGTGCTGTATCAGATTCTGTCTTGCAGTGTTTACTCAATTAATGAAATCTTCCTGTTTGAAGAAGTCATTTACTTCAGCAGAAGAGAAAACCATATTGCTTATTCCAAACAGTTTATGAATTATGTTTCTTAAGAAAAACCTCTGAACATATGAACTCCATAGTGATTTCAGTGCATTACTGAGAGAAGCTGAAAAAAGCTGGTGAACCTGATCTGAAACATTGCTTCTTGGAAAATAAGTTGTAGCAAAAGTCAACCTTTCAAAAGATAATAACCATATTTCTACTTGTAGGAATGGATTCCGTGAGGGAACCACACCAAAGCCCAAGAGAGCAGCTTTTGCAGCCTCCAGTTCATCATAAAGATACATGTATTTGTTAAAATAAATTGTCTTATCCAGAAAATGTCATCTTTTGTACATGTTTTACTTCAGTGAAACATGGTATATTATGTCTGGCTAAGCTGGAGTTTGTTCCCCCACAGCAGCCCTCCCAGTGCTGTGCTTTGCATTGGGAGCTGGAAAGGTTCTGATAACACACCAGTGTTGTGGCTTCTACTGAGCAGCACTGGCACACCATCAGCGCTGTCTCTCCAACATTCCCCCATCAAGGGGCTGGGCGTGGACAAGATCCTGCGCAGGGACACAACTAGGCCAGCTGACCCAAATTACCCAAAGGGATATTCCATACCACATGACATCAGCTCAGATATAAAAGCTAAGGGAGGGAGGAAGAATGGGGGTATTCATTACCATACAGTGCCTTCCAGAGCAACCGCTCTGCGTGTTGAAACCCTGCTTCCCAGGAAGTGTCTGAACATCACTCGCCAATGGAAAGTACAGAATAAACCTATTTTTTCTCTTTGCTCATGTGTGCACAAACTTTTGCTTTAGTAAACTGCCTTATAGCAACCTACAAGTTGTTTTCCATCTTATTCTCGCTCCCCTGTCCAGCTGGGAAAGAGCAGCTTTGTGGGCACCTGGTGTCCAGCCAAGGTCAACCCACTACAGTCCTTTTTTGGCACACAACCTGTGGGATGAGACAAATGCAGTTAAATTTATATAAATATATAAATCATGGTATAGTAAATAGTAGTTATCAAGTAGCAAGCTCCTGTGGGGGACATGGAGTTTGTCAGCTGCACTCCTTATCTCTATTTTGCTGAGTTTGGGAACATGTTAACACAAACAATGGCTCTATGCTTTGCCCTTACACTGATGGCCTTGTTATGCTGGGGGAACTGTCTTGTGGACAGTGAGGGAATACACTTCCCTCTGCCTGCCTGAGATTGATGTGAAGGCTTTTATAATGCAGCCTCCCGTGGTCATTGCTCATCCTTATGTAAGCTGCTTTATACTGTTAACGATATTAGCTAATACTGTTGGTACACTATGGAGTTCATGGAATCTGGTGTCATCCTGGTGTAAGAGAAAACAAACTTAAGGTGAGGAGATATTGAAATCTGCCCTGAGGCATCCAGTTCCTGACTGGGAGGGTGGGTGGAAGGATTTGGGCAGGTTCCTAAGGCAGTTCTCACCTCCCATTACCTGGCACTTTACACCTGAACAGGTAATCAACCCTGACAAACTGACCTGTCAACTGATAGAAGGGTGCTTTGCCTACCCCACTGAAAACCAGCAGCTCCTCACCCTGTACTGAGACCTGTCCTGTGCCTATTGAGCCACAGTTCAGTACTCTCAGAGGAAACTGCGTTTGAGGATAATAATAGCTGAGATACAGACCCAAAGAACAACTACACTTATTGCCCCAGTAGTGAAAAAGAAAAAATGGACAAGGCAAGCTACAGGTCCATATAATCTATTAGAAAGGGAGGAAGAAGAGGAGGATCACTGGAGAAAGGGGTGAAGCTTTCAGCGCTGTGTTTAATACCAGTCACGTCATTGCTGGGGAGAGTAGTTCCGGTAGCAAAAAATGCCACAGCCGGAAACAAATGTGGCAATTTTTGACTGGCTCGCTTAAGCTAAGGGTTCTGTGGACCCTGGCACCCTGTGCCCTGCCATTTCTCCCCTCTCTTCCTGTCCTTCCAGGACATTTTTGCAGGAAGGCTGTTTTTGCAGGACGAGGGGCTGATGAGAGATGGCAGCGCCGAAATCAGCTGAGTCTAGCCGAGCTGAAAAAGGAGTCCAGTGGGGTATTAGGATGAGGCAGCGAAGCGGCAGAACTGACCCACACACACCCTCAGCACAGTGGACTGGTGGTAGAGGTGGTGCGGGAACCGGGTGCCGAACTGAATTCAGTGGAGGGAGATTCGACCCAGTTTGGACAACAAGGCTTCTGGGGGGTTTGTTTAGTCATTGTATTTTTGTTTCATTTGTGGTTTTTTGTTTGTTTGGGGGGTTTTGTTTTCTTTGGGGGGGTGTTTGGTTGCTTTTTTTATTTTGGTTTTGGTTTGGTTTGGTTTTTTTCTGGCAGCAGTGCGGGGGTAGGGCGTTAAACCGCAAAACCCTTGGCCATATTGCTTCTGTTCTCAGGGCCTACCTGGTGGTCTAGTGCAGCTATCTTTTTTCCTAGAGGGTCAGGCTTCATATCGCCTTTGTTGGTTATACCATTTTCTTTTTGTACAATTGTTTATTATTATTGCTGTGTTTATTGCAAACCTCTTCAGTAAATTGTGACTGATTTCAGTCTTCCTTAGTACTTACTTCAACATTATAGAAAAGGAGACAGCTCAAGTGGCCTTAATTTCCTCAATGAGTTTTTTAAACCAGGACAAGGGGAGGATGTGCTCCAGCCGCTGGAGCTGAGATTCTCCTGCAGCCTGTGGTGAAGCAACTGTGCCCCTGCAGCCCACGAAGGTCCATGGGGATGCAGAGATCCACCTGCAGCTAGTGGAGGAGCCCCATGCTGGAGAGTAGCTCATGCTGGAGCAGGTTTCCTGGTAGGACTTGTGACCCCATGGGGACCCACGCTGGAGCAGGCTGTGCTTGAAGGACTGCATCCCGTGGAGAGGGACCCACATGGGAGCAATTTGGATTGTTGCCTGTGGAAAGGACTCACGCTGGAGAAGTTCGTGGAGAACTGTCTCCCATGGGAGGGACCCACCCCACATTAGAGCAGGGGAGGGACCCACCCCACATTAGAGCAGGGGAAGGACTAATCTCCCTGAGCAGCAGCAGGAACCACATGTGATGAACTAGTCATAACCACCCTTACCCATATCCAGGTGTTTTTAAAGTCTCATTTACTCCTCATTATCCTGCTCTGATTTTTTTAATAATAAATTAAATTAATTTATCTAATTTGAATCTGTTTTGCCCATGATGGTATTTGGTGGGTGATCTCTCTGTCCTTATCTCAACCCATGAATCCTTTGTTATATTTTCTCTCCCATGTCCAGCTGTGGATGGAAGTGATTGAGAGGCTTTGATGGGTGTCTGGCATCCAGCCAGGGTCAACCCACTACAGTCTTTTTAGTGCTATCATTTGGATCATGAGGATTTTGAGATAAGGATAGTAATTGGGAGAGGTAACGGGCAAAACAAGTACTGAACAATGTTAGAGGGTAGAATGATCATGGGGAATTGCTGTAATTGTGGCAAAGGGACAAGGGGTGGATTTTGTGTAAGTTGTCCATTTTCGTTCTGTGTTATGATTATGTTATTTTGGTTTTTGTGGGGGGATTTTTTGTCCATGGTCTTCACCATGGGCTGCAAGGAAATCTCAGCTCCAATGCCTGGAGCACCTCCTGTCCCTCCTTCTCCACTTACCTTGGTGTCTGCAGGGCTGTTACTCTCACATTCTCACTCCACCCTTCTTTGGCCACAGTTACATCTGTACAAGAGCTTTTTTTCTTTTTCTTCTTAAACATGTTATCACAGAGGTGTTACCACCATTTCTAATTGGCCTAGCCTTGGCCAGCTGCTCATTCATCCTGGAGCCAGCTAGCATTGGCTCTGCTGGACATGGAGGAAGCTTCCAGCAGCTTCTCACAGAAACCACCCCTGTAGCCCCCCTGCTACCAAAACCTAGCCATACAAACTCACTACACATTGGGATTCCTGAAAACACATATATTTACACATACAAATTCTTGATGGTATGCACTGAAGCAATCAATTAAAAATAATCCCTTAATTGACTTTTCATTGGATAGCACCTCCACCTTGAAAAGGGCCATCATCTCTGTGTTGAATTTAAAAAGAGGGTTGTATGTTACTCATCTTGCCTGCAAGAGAAATGGAATATTGGCACTATGGATTGAGTTTCGTTGTGTCCTAGCATGTAGAGTCAGAATTTATCACAAAGATGGTAACTTGAATAATGGCTCTAAGTGCTGTTCTGGGAGGGAATAGTTTAAGAAGGATTCAGAGTCTGAGACATTGTTCACTGTTTTGTGGCTCTGAAAGGCCTGCAAAAGTATTGCCTATTCAGTGGGTCATTGCCTGTGTAAAATGAAACTGTCAAGTCTGGAGCACACATACTGCCAGACATGAAGGGACTGGAGATTTGTTATTGTTGAGACAGAAGTTACTCAAATGGTCTGGGAAGGTCCATGTGAAAAGTTGACACACAAATAGATCAGAGTTAATTAGTGAAAGGACTAGAGCACAAGTCTTATGAGGAGCAGTTGAGGGAACTGGGGTTGTTTAGCCTGGAGAAAAGGAGGTTCTTCGGGACCTTATAGCTCTCTACAACTACCTGAAAAGAAGTTATAGCTGAGTGGGGGGTTGGGCTCTTCTCCCCGGTAGCAAGTGACAGGATGAGATAAAATGGCCTCAAGATCCATCAGGGTAGGTTTAGGTTGGATATTAGGGAAAATTTCTTCACTTAAAGGTGCGAGGATGCTGGACTCCAGGACGGTTTGGATGGATGAAGAGACGAGAGATCTCTGAAGGCTGCTCTTAGAATATATGGTTTATTAGAGAGGGTGAAAGGCCCTGCTTGGAGTCACTAGACGTGACACATGGCAGGCCCTAGGGAGTGGGGGAAGGGAGAGGCAAGGGGTAGGGGGAGATAAGAGAGGATCCCAAGAGGGAGAGGGTGTTCCAGGAGAGGGGGAGTTCCAAGAGAGCATCTGGCTCCTCAGGGACTCCTTATCAGGGGGCTTCAAGGTGGGCTGGAACAAGACTTAGTCCAATGGGGTCACAGATACCTGATGCTTCAGGGGAGGGTTACAGGTGTGGGATGAACCATACATTTTGGGGGGTGAGATAGAATAGTCTGTAGGGAGC